GTTAAAATAAAATATGTTTGAAACCGTCATTTTCTAAGAAATAGCTCACCTTCTAGGAGGGGACTGACAGAGGTAGTATTGAAGGATGTATCAATCAAGGGTGTTGGTCAAAAGCCAGGACAACATGAAACTGCCAATCTGCTTGTGCTAATCGTCCTCCTTCTCTTCTTAGATTGTTTTTTTAGTGTGTGTGTGTGTGTGTGTTTGTGTATGGTAATGGGAATGGAGCCTGGGGCATTCTACCCAGGGGAACCTAGGGAAATGCTCTACAACTTAGCTATACCTCCAGCCTCTGAACCATTTCCTTGCTTCTGATAAGTGTTTCTTAGTTTTTGTCATTACAGTTGTTGTTTACATCTTCTTCATTAAGAAAGCTAGTTGTGAGTTATTCATGCTCCACCAGGGTTTTTACCTTGGGTCTTGAAGGTATTCATGGACATGTTTTGGCTGGGATGGGGAGAGGGCCTGACATGGAATGGGAAAAAAAAATGTATTATAACTTTGTTTTAACTTATCTCTTGCCAAAATTTAGCATTTTTATAACTGTGGGTAGGCTATAAGTTACAGGTACCGACAGTACCTGTGGTTTTTTCCCCATAAGAAATAAAAGATACTTTCATTCATATCACATTATTATCATAGTTATTCACATATCATAGTTATTAACATATCACAGTTATTCCAAAATTATCTTGAAAGATGTCCTACTTTGGAATTATGGTAATCATTAGCCACTCAGCTGAATTTTGCTATTTAATGTGGTGATAAATATGTATATTATTATATTACAAAAATCTTTTCATAAGGTAATATTTCCATTTTGTTTTCTTTTAATCCTATGAATTTTCTCTTACATATTTTAAAATCTTGTCATGAGACCCACAGGTATTTCTCAGAATTGATTAATGCCCTTTACTCAATTTGCATTTTTTCCATAACCCTGAAATTGTGGGTGCTGGTGGGAATGGGTGGTACTCGCTGTCTTGGTTACTTTTCTCTCGTTGCTGAGACAAAATACCCAAAGTCCAAAGTTAAAGTGAGAAAGGTTTATTTGGCTTACAGTTCACAGAGGTTTCAGTCCATAATCAGCTGGCTCCAAGGCAGGGTGGCAGAGGGTTACAGAAGACAGCAAAGTCAACAAGGAACCTTAACAGTTGTCCCTTTTATCTTATTCAGACTACCAGGACTAGGGCAGTGCCAAATCAATCACTCAGGTGTAGTGCTTTAGTAATCACATGCTATTAATCCCAGCATCATACACTCTAGATTCAGCACCTCCAAAATAGCCCCACCTCATCCACATGAGGCTTTGCGAGGACATCTAAACACAAGCGATACCACTAGCAAATAGGAGATAATGACTTATTCTGGTGCTTTTCCTGAGCACTAATTTCTCTGAGGATAATCTAATCATGACAGTAGGACTTCTTTACCATTTCTGGTGGCATTGCTTTTTTGTTGGTTAACAGGAACTATTAAAAGCAATGACCAAATAATGCTGAATGTCTTAGCCCGTTACGCTAGGGCTGTATTATCATGAATTCTCACAATTTATGCAGAATAAAGAAGTATTATTTTCATGTCATAGATGACAAGGCTGAGGCTTGGAAAGGATAAGTACCTTGCTCAAAGTCGCAAGGCTGGTCAGTAGCCAAGCTAGGATTCAAGATTCTACCACAGCCTGGTAGATAGGTGATCTAGCAAGTGTATTAAATGTACAAGAAACAAAAGTCCTGATATTTAAATTATTTGACCACATTACCTATTATACATTTTAGTCCTTATTTACACTTTCAGTTTCTCACACCAGAGAAACTATTCGGTATTTATACATGTGTGTCCTATTTATTTCACTTAAGAGTATCGCCTCAATGTGCATCCATTTAGCTATAAATGTCCCTAATTT